TCATCAGGAAATGGATTTTATTTCTGTATCGTATTACTGGAGGCATAGTCAGCTGAAGATTGAGATTTGCTGCTGTGCAGCCTGAAACTAAGGAGTCATGCAGAAAATTAAGGTATGGCCTATTTCAAAGATAAGAGGGCAAATACTTTGAATGGAGTAGGAAGGCAGAAGGTTGATATGGCTTTCAAAATCCTTCCTTTTTCTTCAGCAGAATTAATCTTGTCCTGCTACAATCTGGCTTCAACTGTTCACTCTATTTTTAGTTACTGATCTTAGCCAGGTCCTCAAATAGCTCAGAGCTGGTGTTGTTTGTGTCTGATGTAAAACTGATACAGACTTGGCTGGTATTTTCATTCATGTTTCATAATCTTCCCTAGTGTATACATGAAGACAGCGTCTTCGGTGTGCTGGGAGGAGATATTTGTATTGCTGTGGAGTAGATCAGACACCCATCATTTGACACTTACGGTGTTCCTCATGTGAACATAAAGGAATAAGTGAAAACATTTTCATGAAAATGAAATTACTTACATTTAGCTGCAGAGAGGTCTCTCAGAAAGGTTCAGGAAGCACTCTTCCCCTTAAGGGGAATCTCAGAGTAATCCTAAAGTTTCTCTCTTATTTGTGCATTAAGTCCTTCATACAATCTTGTATGCCATGAAGAAGACCATTAGTGTAAGACAGAAGTAGTGGTTTAGTTGGCCCTTTGAGAAAACCATTAATTCAAAATTAAGCCATTAAAGAGCTTTTAAAATGTCATTGATAGAAAGCTTGCTTCCAGAAAAGAGAAAGAATATGTATATAAGACCTTACAGGAAGTTTTTATTGATCAATTAAATTAAAATGGACACAGTGGGGAAAATATCTACCAACAAAAACTATGAATAAGCCCATTAATACTTCCTTATAAAGTACTCATGTCTCTAATTACATTACTTTTTTTTACACTGCTGTATATAAGGAGGATCATTAATACAATTTAAAACATCTGATAAGAGTTAACTTTTCAAATAAGATTTTTCTTCTTCTCTATGAAATAATGCATCTATTCAGACATTGTAGGATTATAAATTCTCAGATTTAGAAAATCGGAATGTAGTTGTTAATTTTGGTTCTGTGTCTCTGAGAAATGCATTCAGCAATCCATACAATATTCCTGCATTCTTGTTCCTTTAACTTTACGTAGGCATAAAATACACCAAAATGAAACTGGTTGTTGAATGCAAGCACATTCAGCTTTACCTGTGGAAAAGATAAAACATGTGTTATGATGAAATATTAAAGGCGGCAAATGTGATTTCTGTATGGTAGCTTTTATGGTCAAGATTTCTATGTAACTTTGCAACTATGACTATATTTAGGAGTCTTTTGAGAATAAATCTAATTGAAATGTCATCTCTGGATTAATTTTGGTAATAGACTACAGCAAAATTACAGGTCAGTAAAGGACAGTTGTGAAATACTTTCTTCAGTAGACTATTCAAAATAAATTTCATTAAGCCATTTATGTTAGATGGCTTTTGGTTAGACTCTCAGTTCTATAGAATCATAGAGTCATAAAATGGTTTGGGTTGGAAGGGATATTAAGATCATCTGGTTCCAACCCCCCTGCCACAGGCAGGGACACCCTCCACTAGACCACGTTGCCCAAAGCCTCATCCAACCTGGTCTTAAACACTTCCAGGGGTGGGGCATCCGCAACCTCTCTGGGCAACCTGTTCCTAATAACTAGTCTTCAGAAGAATGTCCTGGGATTTATTTTAGTTGAAAAGGTAAATCCTCCCATTTTATTTCAACGAAGTGTTGACAGCCATAGAAATACTGTGTTCTTGAATACAAAGCTGAATGGTGCAGTATAGTAGAATGAAAAGCCTAGTAACTCATTCTTGTTTTAAATGTTATTCCAGGTGAGTAACTTTCATTTTGATATTTGAAGGTTAGAAGTTCTTACCTCATGTTCAAAAAATGCATCTTCCAGTGTCTTTTCTCCAGTGCCACTCCCTACACCTTCAAATACAGCCTTGTATTCCTAAAAGCACAGACAAGCACCCAATGGAAATAAGGTAATTTTGCATTCTCTGCAGCACAGATACCTTACATTACTTAATTAATCTACGTTAAGTAATCTTTCTTTATAGAAGAACTCATGCATAGATGACTGTTCTACATAAATCAAAAGTTAACAGCATATAGTCAGCAAAAGAAAGAAAAATCACATTTATTCTTGTATTTCTTACCATCATTTCCTACAACTTAAAAGTAATTTACTGAAGGCACTAAGAGACTTATTGTAGAATGACACATGACCTTTCACTCCTTTGGACAGAGAGCACTGAGCTTCTTGTACAAATAGTATCCATCAGAGCCAGAGCTGTAAATGGAGCCAAAACCCTGAACTCTGATCCTCGCATGGCTCCTCATTTTATTTCCAGTAGTCAGCTGGATTTGCTTTATCAGTGTTAATATTGCATCTAAATCCATTAGTCTGTTATGTCATCCTGGAATATTCTGTGCAGATATATTTGACTTCATTTCTTACGCGCTACATTTCTGTGTAATTTGCTTCTCTGTGTGTTTGTTTTGTTTTTCCTATAAAGTAGCACTGCAGTATAGTTTCCCAAATTCATCTAAATATCCCACCATCGCATGAATAGACTTGTTCTGTACCACATTGACATGGTGACACATGCTTCTAACATTCTGCTTATGCACAGGAACAGATGTGCATCTCCAGCTTTGTTTCTTCTGTGGAAAAAGCAGTAGACCAGACATCATTTTGTTTTGTGTACCTACTTGCAGGTAGCTTTAAATATTATAGGTAGAGTACCACAGTTAATTCATAGAGTAAGTGTTGCATATTGGTTCATCTTTAATAACAGCACTAGTCACATCAGTATTAACATCTTCATCTATGTCTTTGATTCAATCAGTGATTTAGAGAAAACTTTTCAGAAGGGCATTTTTACAGTACACTAGCAATAAATCACGTTTGCACTCATCTGTGACATGAATTGTTTGGTCAGCTCATTTTAAAATAACTTATGCTTTTGCTCCAAAATCTGGGAGGCAGCAGCTGTGAAGTAAAACTCTATTTGGGGAGAGTTAATGAAGTATGAAGACTTTTGTTTACTAGAATGTGATTTGGTCTTATTTAAACATCACTGTAAGAGGAGCTTGTATTGCACTAAGGTAATAATATGTCTTTATATCAAATGCCTTTGATTCCCTATACAACTTTATGGGATTTTTTTGTATCTTCACTGATTTTTTTCTCCCAACAATGGTTTTAACTTATGTGAATACTCTTTAAAAGTTTGCCGACATCAAGAGATATTAAGTATTTGTACTTTGGCTTTTTGTTTTAAGAAATTAGATTACATACTGCATAGTAATCTGCAACACACTTCACTTGCTCGTAGTCATCTGCGTTGGCCAACAGGTGTAAGCCTTCTGGATAGAGTTTTCCACAGGCTGGATACAGCTTCTCTCGGTCATCTTTACTCAGCTCAGTGCCGAATGAATTAATGGTGATGATAAAGGCACGTCTGTCTGCCTCAAACTTAATATGCAAAACAAAGAGTAAAGAGATGTTATTAGAGATTTCGTTCTAAATTAAAGTGGGGATATTTTTTTTCCCCAGTAAGCTAAAGTATGGAATTTTTTTTTTTTAAAAGTGGACTTCAGAGCATTGGAAACACACCTTATTTTAAAAATTGTAAATCCTTATTTGCAAATACTTGTTAAATTTTAACTAGAAAATCAAACTGGTTTGCAACCACAGTTTTTATTCTGTGATTTTTGCACCGAAAATATCATCTCTGCTACTTCCTCATTTCCCTACTTAGTAACCCAGATGTTGACAACAAAAAATCTCCTCACACACCCTTCCGAAATTATGAAATACTCTCATAAATAGTAATAATACAGTAAAGGACCAAGAATCAGTAGTACTGTTCTGGAGTAACTCAGAGTGCTGTTGAGAGTAAAGATTAAACGGAAATCCTGAAAAAAACATAGTTTCTGAATGCACATATTTAGAACTGTAATTGTTGTGGTTTAACCCTGCAGGCACCTAAACAACCATGCAGCCGTTCGCTCACTCCCTTGCAGTGGGATGGGGGAGAGAATTGGGGGGGTGGGGTGGGGTGTAAAACTCGTGGGTTGAGATAAAGACAGTTTAATATGACAGAAAAGGAAAGTAACAACAACAATACTAATTATAAAAGAATATACAAAACAAGTGATGCACAGCAGAATTGCTCAACACCCGCAGACCACCGATGCCCAGCTAGTTCCTGAGCCACAATCTAAACCCCCAGCCAGCTTCTGCCAAGTTATATACTAAACATGACATCATATGGTATGGAATATCCCTTTGGCCAGTTGGGGTCAGCTGTCCTGGCTGAGTCCCCTCCCAGCACCTTGTGCACCCCCAGCCTCCTCGCTGGCGGGGCAGTGTGAGAAGCAGAAAAGTTCTTGATTCAGTGTAAACATTGCCTAACAACCACCAAAACATCAGTGTGTTATCAACATTATTCTCATACTAAATCCAAAACATGGCACTATACCTGCTACTAGGAAGAAAATTAACTCTATCCCAGCCAAAGCCAGGACAATAATTTAATAAGGTGAAAGGGGGCTGTTTACTTGCCAAGTTAAAGTTTTCAAGTGTTTCAAGTAACAGTTAATTTTTAACTCATAGAATCAAGGGCCATATTTCTTCTGCCAGGTTTAGATGCTTGTAGTATCTGTATTTTCCCTGCACAGTAGACTGAAATTCATTCTAATGTCTAGATCTCAGGTTGTTCTTTTGTATGAGACAAAATTTCACTTGCCATTCTTACAGTATGAATTAAAAATGTAATGGTAAATAAAAATAATCTTATTCAATTCTGCCTGATTTAAATCTATTCTTCTGTCTTGAGATCTAAATTGACCATGGTTTTATTTCTTTCCTTTATTACTTACTTTCATGTTGTAAGAACAGCAGAGCCCTTGCTAATTGCAGGTATTATGCAGGAAAATCTTCCAAGTGAAGCATGTACAGTTTACGCACGTTTTAGGCTGCTTGCAAATTTTCTGTGAATTTTTGAACTGTTTTAAGCAGAAAGGTACTCTTGTCTGTCGAATAATAAGACTGCAGTTGCGACACAGTTCTACAACTTCAGCAGTTGAGTACATATTCATAGATCCTACTCCTGCATACTGCAACACACTGTAACAGGGACCCAGCCGCCTGCTGGCACTGACTTCAGAGTAAGAAAAATGAATAAACAATAGAGAAATAATGAGAAGAAAATAAGTGTGCTTGAACAGATTTCTAGCTAATGAATAACAGGGTCAAATTTCACTGGCCTTAATACTATGAACAGGCATATCAGCCCTAGTGAAAGTGGTTTTGGAAGGACAAACGCTTTGTTTTTTTAACTTGTTAAAGCCGTTTATAATCTAGCTGTTAAATTTGTAATATTTTATTAGGAAAAAAAGCATGCTCAGATGCAACTGTAACTAATGCTAGCAGGTTTGGGGCCTAATTCTGTGGCTCCCAGTTTGAGACAATTTGCAGGATCAGTCTCATCCATACGCACCTCTCGGTTCATCCCATTATTGGCACATGAGGCTCTCCATAGTGAGTAAGGCCATGAGGCACCTACTTGGTGACTTGGGCCATTTGGTTGCTCAGGTAGAGTCACCATTTCCGAAGTGCTTTAGTTTCTATATGGGAAACCGAAGTAGCACATCTGCTACTTGAGAATTAGCATGGAGCCCTAATAACATGTACAGCACTAGCTGCAGTGCAGTCCTGCAGTTCCGTGCCAGATTCGGAGTTAAATACACAACATTTGTTGTCCATGGTGGAAGAGAGATCGTCAGTACTTTTCATGCGGAGGCTGGTACTGTGACTGGTGGTCAAGGAGTTGGGGAGCTAAATACCTCAGCTTTGTTCTGATAGGGTCAGGTTGGTAGTCTTGCATAGAAGATTACAGAATAAATAGCACGTATTCTTTTGCATAATTAAACTTTGGCTTTTTGTGAATGCAACCATTAGCAGTCTGCTCTCTGTGCGTCTTCAGATTATTAAAAGGTTATAGAAAAGGAAGTGTTCCACAGAAAAGTTTATCCTCCTTGCTCATTGACATTAGATAGGGATTTTAAAGAAGCTTATCACAGACCAAACTGTTACAACTAGTATAAAGAGAGTTTTACAACACGCTTAAACTAATGTTGGCAAGTAATCTGCTCTCAGCATGAATTTCTAGCTAAAAATGAACTTTCTGAAAAATCTGAATCAACTGTGGAAAATGTCTTTACCTCTGCCAGCCAATCTCTTGATTTTTTCAGAAAAGAATAGTCACAATACTTAACTTCTGGTCAATTTAACTTGTTAATATTTTCTATAGAACATAAACTGAAACATTATGACCTAGTTGAATAAAATATGAAATTGAATTCCCTTTTAGGACATTGTTTTGTAAAATGTAATTTAGCCTCATTCTTCCTTCAGGGGTGAGCTCCTAGGGTTATTATCTCTCTCCTGTAATGCAAACTTTTAGTGTGATGTCATCACAGCTCAGTGAATTTTATTCAGTCAGTTTCCAGGATGTAAGTTTTGCTTACCCAGAAAAAAAGACTCCTGGAAGCAAATGGGTGATCTGGCTCTCAAACTCTGCAAAGGATTGTGATAAACCATGTGAAAAAAAAAAAAAAGTGGAGCTGAATGCTGAGAACTCAATTTTAGGAATTTCTGCATCTTTTAGTACAATAACAGATATAAAAATATAATTCACTATGCTGCAGGTGTGCTTTGGGGAGAAGGATGTTAAGAGTTTTGTGTCATAGATAAAATAAACTTTTCTGAGTTGAGACAAAAATAAAGCATGTAACATTGGACTTTTCTGTATAATACCAGTGGCAAAGGTCACTCAACTCTAACTTCAACTAATAATTTTAATAGGAGAGTAAGCAAACATAATAATGCCATGAAGCTTAAAGATTATTGATGAATAAATATACAGGAATGCCAGACCTTAGCTATCCCAAATTTGATTTTGAGCTAGGAGGTGTAAGAATAATCCACTTTTTTAGTTTTTCTACACAATACAGAAAAAATGTTAAGGGGCAACATTTTGAGATTAGTGAGCCATTTATTCTGTTCTGCTCTCTGTTATAGAAAAATATTAACTGAGGCTAACTCCTCCCTGGTAATGGACTAGCTGCTTCTCCAGTCAAGAGGTAAAAGTCATCCTACCATAAAGTCTTCATCACATCTTAGAAAAACAGTTATTATTCAGAGGAGAAGCAAACATTGGACAAAAAACTTTGCAAATAGAGAGAGAAGGAACAGGGAAAACAAAGTAACCTAATTATGAAAGCATTGTGGAGTACTTTCATGTACAAAGATTGAATTTTTCTTACCTCAAGAATAGGTCTCATGATTTCTGCTGTAGTACCACCTTGCTTTTCACAAAACTTATAGAATGCCTCAAGATAAGACTACATGAAAGAAAAAGAGAAATATTTTAAATGCTGCTTAAGACCTGGACCAGCACAGCACATAGTTACAAACCTCATTTTTAAATATTTCCATTAACTTTGATAATTCTACCTATGAATTTAAATTCAAGTATGTGCTTAATTATTTTGCTGGATTGAAAATTGAAATGTTAAAATGCAAATATCTGTTATTACAACATGGGTTCAAATGTTTTCAAAAATTGTTATAGGACAAATATTATGTTTTCTTTGTTTTCTAAAGTGGGAACTTCTCAAGCTCCATTGAGCTTCCACTGCATAATAAGCAGATGGTTGAAGGAAACTCTGTATTTATGTGTGGAGGAGGGGATTTGGGAATATGCCACAGCTGTTGGGCCAGCACTGTGAGGATACACAAACTAATCCCTCCTGCTCTACCCTAAACCCTGGATTAGGACAGAACAGCAGACAAAGCCTCTGTAATACTGGTCTGCAGAGCCCTCTGGTCTATTACCCGTAACAAAATACCTGTGCAGGAAGGACCCTAAATATCTCAGAGGTGATGTGCCCCCTGCCTTTCCATCCCCCAAAATACTGTTTTAGGGAACATTTATGTTATCAAAATGCATTTGCTACAACTTCACACAATCTTGTTAAAAGAAGCTGTCGCTAACTATGCAATTCAGTGAATTTTAAGTAGAGACATCTCAAGGGGGATCTGCTGCGTGGGATTATGCGTCGGGTTCTGTATAGTGCTATCTGATAATACAGCTGAAACATAATTGATCATATTGACAGCTGAAGCAGAGAAGACAGGATATATTAATAATTTAGAAGTGTTTGCAGAATGATCCCCCTGATACTTAGAAAAGTGAGGAGAAGAAAAAACAATAAGAAAAAAATAGATTTAGCATAAATGTATGGTTATCCACACCAGATATAAGAATCAAATCAGTATGTTATCAAATGGAAAAAAGAGTGTCTAGTTTAGTAGTACTAGTTTAGTGAAAGAATTAAAATTCTTGTGCATAACTGATGTTGTTTTGAATGAGAAGAAGTAGCAGAATATTTAAGAATCAACTATTGGCTGGGGAATTTATAAATATCATTTGTAAGACAAACAGAAGAATTTTTTTTCTTTCCCCCTAGTGCAATCAGATCACTGTAAGAATACTTCCTGCAGTTGGGGGCATCCATTGTGAAAGAAAGATAACAAAGAGTTTGGAGAGAATGTACCAGGAGGAACCATTAATGGAATGAAATATGCATAGCCTTTAAAGAGACCATCCTAAGAGTATTGACCTGTGTGCTAATATTTGTGAAGTAGTTTGAAAATGCAAGGCACATGTTAAATACATATCCTTACAACAGCGTGCTGTAGCAATGCTAAAGATAATTTAAAAAGGAAGAAAATTATACAAAACCCTTAAGTAAAAAAAAAAAAAAGTTAGCTGGACTCAAAGCAACAAATCACATCTACCTTTTATAAATAAAAATAGATGTTAGCCAAAAGTTTGTCTAGGCTCACTTAGGAGCTAACAGTTCTGTGGCATTTGATGGATAACTGAGTTATTTGTAAACAAATGGATCTGGATATTAGCCTGACATCTAAAGCATTTTCACTAATGAGATATTAAATTAGAGTTTGGATGCAGACCTAAAATTTGGAAACTCTCCAAACAGTGGAGTAGAAATGAAAGGAGCTGGATTTGATTCCTGGACTTGTCATCAACCAGGCGACATTAGAGAGCTTGCTTTATCTCACCATGCTTCTGTTTCCCCATCCATAAAACAGGGTTAATGATACTGACCTCCTTTTCTGAGACACTTTGAAAAACCCCAAATATCATTATGTTGCAAGAACTTGCCTTGTACAGTTTGTTGCGCATTATTTCAATGTTCATTTCATCCAGGTCATTTTCAGACAAACAGTCTTGAAAGAAAGCAGCTGAAAGAGAGTTTATTATATTGCAGTATGAATCTGCATGCTGATAATATGCCTCTCTTGTCTATTGCCAGTCCCAGTGTGTGAGCAAGGATCTTAGGTTCCTGTTGTACAAGAAAGAGTGATATAATAGAGAGGAAGAAAAATCCTCTTGATTTTCCCCTTATCCTCCTATTCCTTCCTTTTTAATGAGAATCTGCTCTGAAGGGAATCAATCAGTGCCACAGCCAGAGTCCACATCTCCAGAGAGAATCAGATGAGAAATGCTAATGAAAGCCCTAATCTTCTCTGAAGTATATGGTTTGGGCATTAGGGAGATTGTCTCGTGAGGAAAATGAAAGATAATTTTTGTCTTAAATCATGCAGGTATTCCGCAATGGTTAAGGAGAATCATCTTTCCTATTTTCCCTCTTCCTCTTTGGGTATGGCTGTAGTGGGGGAAAGCCAACAGGTTGCAACTAGTAAGGGGCTCAGGCTCTGACCTTGACCATCTGTGCTTCCAGGTCCTCTGCAGAAATGGCTAAAGAGCAAGCTTTTGAACAGGGAGGCAGAGGATGAAATTCATTTGTGCAGCTAGACTGCTTAAAAATACTGTATTCATAACAAACAAAAGCATGCCAATCCCTCACTATTCCAAATCTATGTCAGTGGGAGAGCCCAGTGCCGCCTGACAGAGTGTTGTCTCAGACGGTGGCAATGGGAGATGGTATTTCAAAAGAACGTGAGCCTGGCTGTGTTTTGTGGTCTTCTCCCCTCATACTCTCCCAGCTTCCAGTTATTGGATGAACAGTATTAGAGGATGTAGCCCTGACAGTTCCCTTTAGTATCATTTTGTAGATCCACTGACTGAGAATTTGTCCCATCTTCTTAAAAATCTGCTACTACTTTCTACTTTTACGAACTTGTTTAGAAAAAAAAAAAAAAAAATCCAGAAATGTATTACCAGATGTTTAAAAAAAAAAAAAGTTTTATTTTACCTGTTTTAAAACTAGTTTTCTGCTGGGATTTGGTCTTCCAAAAGATTTGGTAAGCAACAGCTTGCTGTGGACAAACCACTGCCCTCGGGACTTTGTAATCATTGTCCATATGTCCCGTTAGCCTTGCCCTCTCCGAGCTGCAGTCCAGCCTTGTTAGTCTGTCCGCACACGGCGGCGCTATCCCCTTGTTCATTTTAGCTGTCCTGCTCTGTACCTTCTCTGATTTCACTGCACCGGGTGTGGGTGCCCAGGCACTGGCAGCAGGGGCTGCGGGGTGGCCTCTGCGGGGCTGCTCCACGCTGGACACAGCTGGTTCCAGCCAGGACCCACTGCAGGGAACAGCTGAACCCCTCAGCCAAGGTGGTGGTGCCACTGGGAAAATGTATTTAATAAAGGGCGAAACCCGCAGGATGTAGAGAGGAGGAGGGAAATAAATTTTGAGAAACACCAAGGTCAGAGAAGGAGGAGGAGTTGCTCCGTGGTGCTGGAGCAGGTACTCCCTCCTGTCTGTGGAGGGCCTGCACTGGAGCAGGTACTCCTGAGAGGAGCTGCAGCCCCTGGAGAGCCCACACTGGAGCAGATGATAAGTATGAGGAGGAAGGAGTGACAGACAGAAACCGCCACATACTGACTGTAACCTCCCTCCATGCCTTGTGCCACTCATCGCCCCTCCAAAGGGACTGAGCGTAACCTGCAGTGATGACAAGGGGGCAAAGGAGAGGAGCCTGGAAGGAAGGAGTGGGAAAGGGGGGAGGAAGGGTGTTTTCCCCAAGTGTGTAAATGTTTGCTTCATTCTGTTTGTTTGTTTGTTTCCTAATGCCTGAATCACTAATTATTAATCAACATTAAAGTATTAGTCAACAATAAATCACGTTAATTTTCCCCAAGTTTAATCTGTTTTGCCTACAACAGTACTTGGCAGGTGATCTCAACCCACAATCTCCTTTTTTTCCCCCCGTGTTTTCTCCCCCCGTTGTGCTGGGGGTTGAGCAGTGGGCTGGGTGGGAGTTTGGCTTCTGTCTGGGGCCAACCCACCACGCCGTCTTGAAAAGCAGAACCCAAATCCACGCACAGTGCTCAAGATGAGGGCACATGGTGGTTTCATACATGGTGAAATCCACCTAGTTCCATCTTATTCTCAGTACCCTTCCCAGCAGTTCCCCACAGCTAGTTAGTTTTCGTTTGTTCGTGTTGGCTGCTGCAGAACATTGAGCAGAGTTTCATCCCAATTTCAGAATGCGACGTTCCCAAGCCTCGCTCTGTTTTGCTTTTAGATTTAGTTCTTCAAAATAGGGATTTTCTCTGGTTTTGAATCATGCCCAAATCTCAAGAGGGGATCTAGGTTCTACCACAACATCTAATATTTATTAGTAACTGTCTGCTTCTGGATCTTTAGTGGGGGATAGGCAAGATATCATCTTACATATTTTAATTATAAATGCAGGTGTTGAAATAAAAGTCTAGATGTTCTAAATCAGTGGCTACTTTGGGTATAAAAGATATCCATTACACTTTTTTGAGTAGAATGTTTTCTTTGTGTCTGCTACCTAAGGTTGATATAGAAGCTGTGAATAAATCTTACTAGAAAATGTCATGAACACCACTTCAGAAGTGCTTGATCCACACTTCAGGTTTTGTGTTACTAAAACACAGCATATCCAGTGGAAAACATGCTACTCCATCTGAGATATTCTTAAGAATATATAGGATGAGTGGTTTCAAGAAACAAATAAGAAATAATGTAGTGTTCCTACCTAATGGTGTGTCAACCAAAATTGCATTGAACAGCTCCGTGGGGTTTGAGGCAATGCTGACTGCTTCCATTTGCTCAAAACTCCCCAGTGGATGGCACTTGGGAACAAGTTCAGCTATGGGCCGCTGATGTAATGTGCCAGTTATTAAAAGAATTACGTTGTCAATCATGTAGCTGTATCTGTATTTGAAAGAAAAAGTAAAAGAAATGAACCTTATCTTTATAATGAATTTTCCTTTGAAAAAATACAAACCCAAGATTTCTGAAAAAGAGTAATAATACTAAAGTCAGAAACGACCCCAGTATTTGCAGGCTTGTGCGTTCACTCTGTTTCAATATCTCATTTCTCAAAAACAAACAGATGTTTTTAAATAGCAAGTAGGTAACACAGTATTAATTTTAAACACATGACTGAGTTTGGGAAGGAGACACTTAAAGAAGGGGAAAATGGAATGTGAATGTTATAAGCATAACAGCTGTGAAATGTAGATTCTCTATAACAAGTGACAATGAATGGTATCAAAAAGTAAATCACCTGAGCTAGCAGATTCTCTGGTTTGGGATTTTGTTATCTCATACAGAACATCTGGACAGAGAAGTGCGTGGGAATCTCGGCACTAAAACTGCAGGGTTCATGCAGATGGACCAATCTTGGGGCTTTCTTCTCATTCAGCTTTAAACATCCTCCCATGAGGAAACAGGTTCTCACAGATTTCTTCTTTATTGCTAAAAGTTTTCTTTTCAGTATAAGTTTTATATCAGCTTCTTACTAGTTTTACTGTCAGAGAGGCTGATAAGAGTTTTGTCAGTTGCTTGGAAATGTAAAGGCTATTCCCTTGGGATGCTTATAGCATCCAGTCTTCAGTTTGTGTTGTTGATTCAGAACACAGCTAGAGACATCTAGGGATTAATATGATCTCACACAAAATCTGGGAGGCAGCTCAGGGACCTGGTGAAATGTAGTTCAATGATTTAACAATTGTGTTAAATATCTTAAACTAGCGTCACCATTACACATGCATGCCAATCAGTGTGAGAAAATAGCTGCCATAATTTTAATATTTTCACTTTCGTTTCTCTGAAGCACAAGGTAAACATTGTATGCCTCGAGTCGCAGCTGTCCTAGGGCAGTCTTTAAGATCCTGTTGATATATACACCTAAAACTGATCAGCTACACTTGACACCACCTCCCCCAAAAAATTACTTTGCTTGCTGTTATGATGAAAATACTCCTTAAAACTAAGCCGAACAGTCTAGTGTTCTTGTTATAATATATTTAAAAGATAAGATCAAGGAGAGCAAACAGATTTCACTAGTCCATGTTGTTATACTGTTATAAAGCAGATCCTTGTTGTTAACGTTGTTTAAGCCATTCATTGACAAGTTTTATCTGTTTATACCTGTATTGAGATCAGAACTTTCTCTTCATCTGGCATAAAACAGCACTTGTACTTTTTAAAAAAGCTGCTTGAATCTAAGTATCTTGCTATACACAACATGAAGTTTTTCTGGTTTTAATGTTCACATGGTATAAAAGGTATGGCAGATGTGTGGTGTGTTGTCTTTCTCCCTTTAAAAAAGTCTAGAACTTGCCACATGCCTAGAAATTAGATCATTGCCCTGTACATCATGAAATTGCTAATCTTGCATGAGCCAGCCCCACAAACTTCAGTTTTGCAAGTTTTCTGACTTAAATGGTATTTGAAAATTATAACTGTTTTTCTCAATCTCTACCACTCCTCCTGCCACTGTACACAGAAAAAATCTGCTTCTATTCTTTAAAATAAGTAGCTGCAAAGACAACAGATCTTCATAAGTATATTTTCAGAACTTATATAGCAAATTAAGTAGGTAAATGTTGCAGTATAAAAGTAATTTTCCTGTTTTTGAAACAATAGAAATTCAAGTACAATGCATTTACACTGTTTTAACTTGTAGCTTTTGCTTTGAGTCTATGTGGTAAGCTATGTGGTAACATTACTTACGTGATAAAATTCAGAAAAGTAGCAAGTGGTTCAAAAGCATGGTTTCTAAAGTAATGAAATTCCGTAAGAAGTTTTGCTTTCAGTTTATCATCGATTGTGGAAATAGTGAGAGGGCCAGTTTCGTTAGCCAAGAAGTTGCCATAGTCTGTAGTCTGTAGATGTAACTTCAGATCTGAAATTAGATTCAAGGAATATGAGGAGAATAAACTGTCATTATATTGTCTACAAACCAAATGAAAAAACTTTTAAAATGTTTATTTCTAACATTATATTTTCATATTAAGTGTCTGACCATACTCTATTGAAAAGGTTTTGCCATACATTTCACATAGAGTAAATGCATAATTCCGGCAAATTTGTACTGCCTTCTACCAATAAGACTTACTGCATGCCACAGGAAAGCGCAAATAATTTACACCTTTGTCAGAAGTTTCACCGGCAACTTTAGTTTCCAGCCACACCAGACACGATGTTAGTTACTGCTGTCCCGAGCCCCTTCCCAGTCAACTTTCTTCAATGTTTTGATTTCTCTGGTTTATTCAGGGCACCACTCTTGCACTATTATAATACATCGGTTGTTTTGTCTCCTGCATTCCTATGGACTGTTTTATATCAATAGGAATCATCCTTTATCATTGTTAAGATCTTAAATTTTCATATGAAATGTTTAAATCTCAGGTAAGACTATAATATTATGTTATCAGGCTGCCTGAAGAAGAGGAGAGAACATATCTTGCCTGGCTCAGATTCTGGACTCCAAATGGCTTCTGCAGTGGAGTGCTTGAAAGGGCACAGCTACACTCTCCTAACATTTCTGGTTTGGCTTGGTCTGATTTATGGCTGCTACTACCAGATCTTAAGAAGCTGTTCCAGAAACTTGGGTTATCACAACATATTCTGTCTGAGCTCCTGACTCTGATAACTGAGGAAAATGGGTTGATTAGACAACAAAGTTGAAAGAAGCTTTTGTAATATCAAAGAATTCATTTGACAAATTTCCTCTGCTAATCATTTTCCACCATGAGGCAAAAGTAACGATTTAAATCAGTTCTTAGTGTTCGAAGCAGTTTAACATTTCCTTTTAGAAAAGCCCCTGCTATATTGCACAATTATGTTCAAAGGCTCTATTAAAACTACTATAAATTATGGATTGGGATGTTACATGCTTTGGGCATTCATAATAATATAAAATCTGAACTGATATAAAGGGAAAAGGACAGCACTGACTGAAAAAAAAGGCGTACCTATAAGGGAAGTTAATATGCGGTTAGCAAGGTATGTGTTTATCAGTATAGTAGCTACTCTTTCCTAAATTTCCCATGTCTATATTTTCTTAGTATGCAATCAGGTTGCCTACATTGAGACTTAAAGCAAAAGAAGGAGTACATTGCAAATTCAAACTCCTACGCCTCACACTGTAGCTTACTGAGATAGATAATCCTCAGTTTTCTATGCAGTTTAGCTGCCACTCGAGCTCATTTTAGCAATTACATCAGCAGGCTCTTGGATAGGACAGCCTTACTCAGCTCGCTTTCTGGAACTGTTAGCATTTCTCTAGATCTTCCTGCAATAGACTGAACTTATGCTGGCGGAGGTAATTGGTCTTTCAATGGTCAAAGCCAGAAAGAGAGAAAGGTAAGAAAGATGAAGAAATATACAATTATGCCCAGAAATGAGTCTAAACATGTATGATCAACTTTTAAAAAAATCACTAATATTTTCATATCACATCTACATTTCCTGTGAAAACTGATTTTTACTTTCTCTTTTTATTGCAACGAAGGTAAAAATACTTGACATGTGGTGGGATTAGATAACACTACCTCATTACATGCAGAGAGCTGAATTCCAGCTTTCCTCAATTCCTTTTCAGACAAACCACTGATACCTACCTTGAATCGTCCTCTGTAACACGTTCTGAACATGGTGGTTTTGAGAGGTTTAGTACCTAAAGCAGACTGCAACACCCAAATATCAGCACCCAGTATTGACCATTCTGAAGTGTGTTTAACATCGTCATGAGATGAACAGAAACCAAACCCAACTGCTTGAGAGCAGCTTGGCAAGACTGTGTTACCTTCCTCAGTTCTCTTGTTGACTGAGAGGCTTCAAAATCCACGTCCTAATGTAAGGCATGAAAAATATTAGCTATAACACATTAAATAGCCCCACCTGGCTCTCTAAAGCTATAGAGGAAATACAATGCCCAGGAATATTGGAGTTATGATGCTGTCACTTCCACAGCCTTCTTTGGAGAAGTATTTCTTCTGAACGATTTAATAAATGCCAGCATGCATACTGTATGTAAGAAACAATAGTCACCCCTATCTCATGGCCTTGGCTCAAATGATTGAGAAATAGTCATCCACAAGCTCTAATACCATATAATATCAATCAGCAATGTCATAATCAGAGTTCACACCATGACAGAGTTCAGTGCAGCTCAGAGACTCCTCTGCTGGTCTTAAATGATGTTCTCTTGGCTGTTGGCATGAATAAGACCCAGGGACTAATACAGTCAGACACTTGCACTAGTAATGTGACCTGATTTTCAAGGCCAGGTTGGATGGGGCTTTGGGCAGCCTGGTCTAGTGGAAGGTGTCCCTTCCCAGGGCAGGGGGGTGGAACTAGATGGTCTTTGAGGTCCCTTCCAACCCAAACCATTCTGTGATTCTATGATTCTATGATGTGGCAGGAGTAGATGACTGAGCATAACAGGGGGTTCAGACATTCCTGTTCACCAAAACTGTTTAGTGATGGTAGCTGCTCCTTTTCTCAGGGGCTTTTGGACACTTACGCAAGACCCTGGGCTTTTCAGCATGTCCACGAGATCCCTAGGAAAGAAAATTCCTGTACTTCAGCTGTCAGCATTATTGCCACCTGTCTGCATTGTGTAATTCCTCATACAATTATATGCAGGAAAATCATATGCAGGAAATGTATGACTTTAAATAATGTGATTTTAAATCACATGATTTTACTCACAATTGAACAGCAAGCAAAAACAATTGACAGTATGTCTAAAGGGAATTAATGCGCAGAGCGAGACTAGTTTAAGATGAATGCAGTTAAGACAGGAACAATGCTGATCAGAAAGAAGGAGTATTGTGAGAACTTGAACAAAGCATTAACCTGGTCTCTCAGCATCAAGCACACGGAGTCTTGTGTGACTCCTGCCCCCAGTTTTCAGTTACACTGTTATTTCAGCCACCGCGTGCTGGCGTGCCCTGGCTCTGGCAAGTTAAATGAACTCATGTCAGTGATGTTGGTAGGAGCAGAGCTGGGCTGCCTGTCCTTCTGCGACCTAGGCTCCTTTCTAGAGAGCAGTAGTCTTTCCATCACCCAAGGAAGCGAGGAAAGGATAAAGTGCCCATAGAAGAACCACCACCCCAACCCTCCATATTTTACTTCGAAGACTGTCAGCAGGGTTCCTCTGAGGATCCCGTTCCCCTGAAACAGATGATGACATACAGCCAAAGTAGTAGCATGCCGCGTTGCGGAGTTTTCAGCCAGTGTTGCAGCCCACAAGGTAGCCCCATGGAAATTATAATAATTCAAACAAGCCCCAAAGGATATTTAAGTTAAGCTGAAGGCCTCTTCTCCTCTCTGTGTGGCTCTGAATTGAGAGGGCACAGTGGTACCATATGTCAATTAGCATCCTCCTCCTTTTCTTTCCCTCTCACTGTTACACTTACTCTGTGATTATCAAGCAGATGTAAAGCACTAACCTACAATTTTTCTTGTGGTTCTTCTGTACTTACATTATGGTTTTCCCTCTAGAGATATCAAAACCACTTTGAAATTAAAAGATCTTTTTTATTCTATTTATGGGTTACTTGGTGTTGTTTTAATTTTTTTCTGCTTGTTTGTTTCAGCATATTTATAATATTTTTAACTTAGGCCAGTTTTTGTGGTGTGGTGCTATGCCACAGAATGCAGAATGGGGTAAATTTGTTACCTTTTAATGTGAAGACATGAACTGAAGACACTATTGGACAGGGACAATAGTGCTACAATACAAATCCACATGCTGGATCTTTTAACTGGAAACAAAATATAATGTATGCATAAAGCTCCATTTTTTACTTCAGAGGTAAAGGTCTGTGTTTTCAGTGCACTGTATACTTGTGGTGCAAGTTCAATATTACAGCATCCTATATGCGTAATATAGCCAGAAGTATATTTAGCCTCGTGTACAAATCCAATACTTGTCATATTTTCATTGTTAATAATACATTTGGTAGATAACTGGTGGGAATCTCTTAGCTGTCTAAAAGAAGTGGAAAATGTTACAATGGAGAAAGAGATGTAGCTGAATAGAGAAAAAAGGAAAGTGATAGTGGGTAGCAGAGATGTGCTTGTAGGCAGGTTGATGAAGGCTGCCGCTTCTGTTGCTGAAATAATTTGCATTCTAAAATTGAATGAACATTAGAAAGAAGAAGGTTCAAAAATAAAACAGTCATTCTTTCTACTATAAATCTTACTTAGAAACGGATTTTGTCTCTCTATTGTGATCTGTCCATCTGTTGCATGCTCTTGATAACATTGAAGGGTTATACACACCTCGGAAAAGTTTGAAAACTACTTCCTGGTTGTAAATAACTTTCTTGTAGCATGACTTAAAATTTAGATAGTTTTCCTAAACTATTCTTAAGCAAGTATTCTTCTGGGAAGGATGAGGGAAATCCCTTTTTCTTGTATGTTTTTCAAAATATTCAAACCTGTATATTTTCATCTTATTCAGAAGCAACTAAGATTTTGTGGTTGTTTTTTTTCTTCATGGAGCCTTTGATGGCATCATTTATTGAGCTCCTCTGCAGAGATGAGTGGAGTAAGAGCAAGGTTTAATAATTCCCTCATTCTGGCCTTTGTATCTTTTATAGATGTTTGAAGATCTATTAACTTTTTCTGAAGTCTGTATATTCATGGAGCAGGACTTTTTGACTGAAACAGTTAAATGCAATATCAAAAGTATCTGTAGAGTCTTTAAGTTGCATAGATCACAACTGCTGGTACAAATAGGCTACAGAAACTGTTGATTTTGTCCAGCTGACATAAGGAATAGATTTCAGTTCTCAGAGTAAGTGTATATATGTGTTCTGGGTGTCTAAACTGCCATTGTATGAAATGGAGAGCTGATATGGCTCTCCAGCTTATCAGCTGAAGTAGGTACGTGCACTCGGTCAGGTGAATAGTCTCTAGATCCCATTGACTGTACTGACAATCTCTTCTTTAACTCTAAGACGACCTTTATCCTGCTGACAGGTAAATACCTGCCTGTATCTATATAAATGTAGTTCTTTTATTCTGCAAGATGAATTGCAAGCAACCTTCCCAGAATTGTGGTGTTATTGGCATTATACTAATAGTTTAGACAGCCTCAAAACTCCATTGTGCATGGGAATCGTCAGGTTCTGCACTTCTCATTTCCCCAAATCCATTACTGCATACACAAAGCAACCAATGATTAAAACAGAGTGAGCTTATGAGTTCTCCTTGTTCCTTTTTCACATTCAAATATACTGCATGTCATAGAAATTATTTCAGTGTACAATCATAGCTTTTATTTCGGAGTCAGGGAAAATAAACTTTATGTTCCTTTCAAAAAGTGATTTTTTCCTGTTATATTTTTTGCCTGCCAAGTGTCTAGAGGTGTGTCATATGACTCTTTGTACCAGTCTGTCTTCATCAGGCTGTGACCAGTCTTGGCCACAGAAAGCTGTTTTGGAAACTAGTATGTGTTCTCATTATTACTGTGGCAAAGTCACCTTCAAAAAAAACTTCTTTTTTTTTTTTTTTTAAGCTTGAGAATGGTTCAGGTTTATATTTGTGAAGCCTGTTTTTCTCTTCCTGGTAAGTAGAATGTCCCCCACTGCCCTAAAACTCATGAAGTAATAAAGTATTAAAATTATATCTTTATAGAGAAACTCAGACCCAAATGGTAAGCTTATAATAAGATTTTGGGAGCTATTTTATCCGGCTGAAATTATATGAAACTTCTATACCTGAACAGTTCTATAGTGTGGTTAAAATCTGTGAGAAGGTTACCAATCTCCATAGGAACTCTTTGGATGAGATTTCCAAACCTTATCACTGAACTAGAAAATCCCATCATCTGGATTGCTTTTCAAATCACAGTCTGTACAGTCCTAGAGTAATTTCGAAAGCTATTAACTTAAATATGAGAACAGTTCTTCAAAGGACATCAGGGTTATCTCTGGGTTTTAAGATAAGCTCTCAATACCTCAGTCTTTTACCTTCCCTTCTTCAAAGGTCTAAGCAACAGCATTTCTTCCTAAATAAAATAAACCAGCAGACTTACCTTCTAGCGTCTCACACTGTGCTAAATTGACATAGTCTGCACTTGTCAAGATCCCGGCTTTGAACCCTCGGACCAGACCCTCCAGGTATCCATGGTCCACATTGAAGTAGAACTCTGAGTAACCTGGCATGGAGAAAAGGAGATTTAATCTCTCTGTTGGATACTTGATGGTACTGAATATCTACCACCAACTGTTTTCCTCCTCTTTGAAGGAGTGACAAATAGTCACTGATTTCCTGCCAGCCTATGATTGTGTTTTACCAACTGGTTTCTTCCTGTTTCTTGCTCCTAGTGTAATTCCAGTAGAGTTGATGCTTACACAACAGCCAGCCAGCAAATCCAACTCCCTCCTGTCAGAGCCAGTAAATGAACCTATTATTGTTGAAAGAGAAGCCAAAAAGGAAGTATAAGATTTAACCATTGCTTACAAGAGTGCTCTGTACTGACTGGAGAACGAGAAAGTGTATTACAAAGCTTGATAGCATTTTCACGTTTCTTAAATGTGTTATAAACAAGAAGTTATCTGTGAATACCTACTGAAAAAATATTTCTGCACTAAAATGGTGGGCTGTGGTAGAACATAGCCTATTCAAGGAACTTAGATGGTTTTTTTAGTGTCACTGTATACCTTTTGTTTCTAACATTTCTGATTGATTGCTGGAAATTTTCTGCTGCTCATCTCTATCAGTAAATATCTATACAAATTTTAACATCTTTCTAATAATTACAGTGAACATTAGATCATGCTCATAGGTTAAAGGTCTTTGAGGGGATTGACTTTCATTAGCTTTTAAAGTGAGTATCCAGAACTCACCTCAGAACTATACTTTGTCCAAGTTCCAATCGAAATACTCTGGTTATATTCACTAAGATGTGGAAATAACTCATATTTTTCCTCTTACAAAATGAAGGGTATAAAAATAAGAATCTTAATTTCCATAATGCAAATTTAGAGCCTTTTTAGACTTCCTGATTTTGATTCATTTTAAACTTGAAACTGCTAAATCTATCAGTGACTTTCATACTGAACTAAGTCCACTGCCTTTCAGGTTTAGGTGCCCCAAAGCTGACAGTTCAAAGTGGCCATGCTTCTGTAATCAACACAAAAAGTCCTTTTTCTCCCTAAATTCACTAGTGTATGCAACACACGTCTGCAATCTTTGCTGGAAGTGAAAGTCTTATCACATGCTAGGTGATATTTAGGTCTGTAGTTAACTGGAGCTCGGGAACTTTGCAATGAGGTGTCTGAAGACTGCTGCGTGGTTGGAGGGTTAGCACCAGCAACAGAAACTACAGCAGCAGTCTGCCATCCACATCTCAACACTTTGACTCAGTTTTCAGTGCTTTGAACACATTTGGTGTATTGTGTGGGCTGAAGACGTGCAGCTGGGTTCTTATATTGATCCCTTGTGCTGAAATGTGGCTGCAGCGAGAGTTGTGAGTTGGCATCCATGGGGACAAGGCTGTGACAGTGAGACTTTCACCCCTGTCCTGGGAGCTGAGAGGCTGATGACAGCTCGGTACTCACCAGGTGATTCCTGTCCATACCGCCTCGCTCCTGGCCGCAGCAAGGCTCTGCAGGCTGCGCGAGGAGGCACGAGGTGCCTGGGTGTTTGCTGCCCGAGCAGCCACCCGCTGCCTCCTCTAGGAAGGAGGAGTTGGGTGGGTGGGTTGGGTGGCCACCAGCCACCTGGCAGGCCAGGCTCAGCCAAGGGAGTAATTCTACTGCACCTTGAGGGTCAAATAAAAATTGTCTCAGGCTGGTTATTACCACACCTGTAGCCAGCTGCAGGGGAAATAATGACAGCATTTAGACATTTTTAAAAAAATTACATGTTTAGATATGCAAACTGTAATTAGTTGAGAGTTCAAATGGTGCCTAGAGTACTGAAGTTTGCTCCTTGTAAATTAGGCTTACAGTTTTAAGTCGGTCAGTTCTTGGCATTGCAGAGTTAACCCAGCCAAAGAAGAATGAGACAGATTAGGCTTATTAGACAATACAAATAAACCAGCTCCCTCCCCCACACCAACAATTTGCTTTTGTCTCCCAAGTCCGCATGCCAGCAGTGCTCAGAACCTCCTCGTGTAAGAAGCGGTGAGGAGTTTGTTAATGATGTTTCAAAAGCCAGGGAGATTTTTCAGGATACATAACCACTGTCCATGCTTCAATATTGACACATGAAGATAACCACGTTTTAACTTAAACCTACTTTTTTTGTTGTTGTCGTCATCATCGTTCTAGCACGTTTCGCTTGACAGCCTCTAATGTTAACTTTTTTTAAGGGAAAGAAAAGAGGAGAAGGGAAAGAATGCGAGGGACCCATTATTGTGTACCCTAAGAGCTGTGTTTGTTTTTAACCGACACATCGCTATAAAGTGTGTGTTACATAAACAAGTAATGTCTCGCAGCGGCTGAATTCAGGCCTCCCCCAGCTGTAATCACAGCGTATCAGAACGTGGCACATACCCAGCTGGTGGCAGTCCAAGGTTATGCTGCCGACGAGCTTCCAAAGCTTCAGACAGCAGAGCCAGTGCAGAAATGGCTTTGCAATAGGTCCTAAATTTAGTAAGGTTTGGGGTCATGTGAATATTGCCTGGCAGGTGCAAATACCATCGCTGGTGATCCTCCAGTGAGAAAGTGCTACCATGAGATCCATAAATACTGTCAGGACCATCGCTTGAAGTATTATCACTCAGCAAAGTTCCGTGAAATCTGTGTATATTTGAACGATTTCAGGAAATAGAAAAATCAGGCTGAAGTCTTGAGTGATTTTATCTGTTAGGGACAAGATCTCAGATGATATGATCCAGGTTAATAGACCGTGTTCAAAAACATCAAGAAATGCTCAGTTCTCTGGTTTTTGTTACAAGACAATTGATGAAAGAAGACAGCTTTAGCAGCTGCTTAGACACGATGCATATATTTAGTTAATGCACTAAATTTTTAGATAAAAAATATATGAGAGCAAGTTCAGTATCTGTAATTTCTTATAATGAATGGCTAGTATGATATGATTTCTTTAACGTTTTGTAGTGAGTAGGGTTTTATAAAAAAATATAGTTCCTTATATTAATGAACTTATTTATATAGAGCTGTGAATTGCCTTTAACAAATTACCATGTGAGAAAATACGATACTCTCACCTGTTAAGTTTATAGAGTGCAAAGGTTGAGATATTTTTATAAGAATTTTTTTAGCAGTGAGCTAACAAATACTGGTAGCATGTTTGGGAGGAGAAGTTAATTCAAGTTAAGCAGAATTAGCAACACAAAAATGTTGAGATCAAAGAGCAGAATTTAACCTTTGATACTGACAATTTTTGAGAAACTGTGAAACAAAATGCATATATTATTTAACCACAAGATGTCATCATAGCACTGCTGTAAACCCCTTTTCTTCAGGTTTTTTGCATCTCCACTGAAAGAAAGAAACTTGGAAAGAAATATGAAAAAAGTTCTGGCTTTTTAAATTTGTTTTTAGCTAATCTAAAGTTAACAATGTAAACCACATATACTGATTATTTCATCAGATGTGACAAACAAAATATTTCCATTTACTTGTATTTTTGCTATATGCACAGATTTTCTCTGAGCTTCCTTTTTTTTTTTTTTTTAAACAGTGTTGACAGCTCCTAGCCACGAGGTTAATACTGAAGAACAAATGACAAAGAATCATCAGAAGAGTGAGTAAGTGGTGTTATACCAGTGGAATGTTGACTAAATCACATGAATTCAAAGTTACTCTTTTTTTTTTTTTCATTAGAAATACTTAAAGACGCTATTTTTTTCATCTTGGAATCTCATTTAAAAGTCTATTTATAACAGCTTTAGCCAGGCAGATCTCTGCTTAAATTGTGGGTTTGCTTATCCAGAAATAAAATTCACTCGAGTCTTGACTGTGCATTTGCTTACACATATAATTCGCATTATGTGTGCCAGATTCACTGTTATCAGTATATAGTGCTGTTTCAATGTGTGGGTGAAACAGATTTCTTCATCTGTGTATATATTGACTTTTTTTGTTTGGATGTGGGAGATTTTTGGCCTAACACAGACTCTGTACTTCCTATCCTGTTAGTGGAAAATGTGCCTCCCTTGTAAATCAGTAGTGTTTTTAAAAACGTAAGCTGTTCTTTCAGCTGTTTCCCCCCCCGCCCCCCCCAAAAAAGGTATTTTTTTTTTTTTTATTACCTAGGTAAAAATTGTTATGAGCTGTGCACTATTCAAATTAAAACTATTTTGATTTTCTAATGCAACTTAAATAGTATCCAAACTGATCTAGAGACTTTTGGAATGCAATGTCTCCAGTGCTGTTTTTGGGGGGGTTTGGGGGTTTGCATATCTTTGCACTGGCATTGAAAGCCAACTACATCAAAATTCCTTAAACTTTGTAAATTCTGGAATGTTCTGCTGTAAATTTCTGATGGGTGTGACCCATTCCTAAAAATCCTTCCAAAATACGATCTGTTGAAATCCCTCATTTTCTGAAATAATGGTAGGACAATTCTGATTGATTGCAATATATAAACTGAGATTCAGCCTTTCTGAGCTGTTGAGTACCTGCAACTCTTGCTAGATGAATATCGAACACAGTTAGGTACCCGATGGACCCTAGCACTCTAAGTAGCTAGAAGTATGCTAGCACGGGTACCAGAAGTATAGCTCTACTACAGCTAACACAATTATGTTTGCCCTG